AAAATCCCATTGTGCTTTTATGCCCTGGACAAAATTATATTAAAGCAGTAACAGTTGTGAACTTGATATGATATTTGTGTGTCTTAAAAAATTACTTGTTGATATTTTTCTCGGGCAGTTCTGCTGTCTATTATTATGGGTACATAAAAGAGACTGGAAGAAATGCCTGAGTGACTAAAAACTTGTAAAAAGCACAAAGGAATATAAAAAGCTGGCTCCAAACCCACATATTTATTTGAGGATTTAAACATGGTCTCAAACAGGCTTTTCGTTTTCAGTGAGATTTGTTAATGTAAAAAAAAAGCCTGCTTTTGCGGACTTCTTTGATCACTGGAGAGTTTTGTTTCAGAGCACTAAATATCAAAGAAGTAAAAAAAAACTTCCAAAACTGTTGCTAAATGGGAAGAAAATTCTTGAGAAAAACAATTTGTTTTTTAAGATCCATTGTGTCAAAACAGAAAGAACAAAAGTTTCATGGCTCATTTGTTCTTGCAGATAAAACCCGAGGTGGGCCGAATGTGAAGCGATAAGATTTAAACCTGAATGGCTCGGATCGTGTTTGCCCAGTTTCTGAGAAGTTGCATGAAATCCGATTGAACAGTTGGCCTCTCCTGCTGCTGTAATATTATCTCTGTTAACAGTACAAACGCATTCAAGGCTGTCTTAAAATGCAGATGCAAAGCACATTTATCAGTTGTGCATAGTTTGCTGATGACTTTGTTGTCCTTTAAGCGCTGATTGTATGTTCTAACCTTTCACCTTGAGACCCTTTTTTTACTGGCTTTTATACCTGTTGTCTCTTTGTCTCTCTTTGGTTGAAATAAGGCAGAACCTTGTCTGCATTTCAGCGATTGCAACATGACGTGACCAGCTGAAGATCCCATTTTATATACATTTAATATACGGTATGAGTCTAGTCTCTTTAATGTACTGTTTTGTAAAGAGGTGTATATACCCTCTAGCTCCAACACCTTCCAAACACTCCATTTCTATGCGTGATGAGCACGGAAAATGTTCCAAAAGGGGCAAAACATTCTGCTTCACCCTCAAAACTAAGCTTAGTGCTGGGGAGGGACAGTAGTTTGGTCAAATTCTCACTAAGATGACAAGACAACAAAGTGTATAGAGATGAGCATAATTTAGGTGGTGGAGAAACCCGGCTGGCTGAGCCCAGGGTCGAGGCAGAGCAGGTTGATGCAGCTCTTTTGCACCCACATGGTGAGGGGGCGTCGCCTACGGGGGGGGGGGGGTCCTGCTTGGCCAGCAGGAAGTGAGGAGTGGGGCAGGGGAAGAGATAGGCTAGGGCCAGAGGAGTGGAGGGTTTGCAGGTTCATATCCCAGGCAGGACACCGTTGTGAACCCGATATGATGCTGCTGCCGCGCCCTGGAGAAGAGTAATCACCTCTCCAGTTCCGCTGCTCCAGGATGTCATTACCAACGGGAGTTTGCTCTCAAGTCTCTCTACTTGTTAAGTCAAGGATTGGATCATAAGCAGCTGAGGGTTTCTTTGCAGCAGGGCAGGAAATGGGGTGGATGAAGGAGGGGATGGCTGAGAAGGAAAAGACCACAGGGAGCTCTGGAGCTCCAGGCAGGTGAGTCGGCAGAGCAGGGAAAAGCAAACGGCGTCTCGAAGGTGGGGCGAGAGGGGACTCCCCCTGAATGAGGGTCGGATCACTCGGCCCAGCTGGGCAGGAGCCGGTGGGAGCAAGGACATGGGTCGGAGCCCAGCACTGGCGCCGAATGGAGCAGGGACTGTCAGGAACGACAGGGCGAAACATCAGAGAGGAAGATGTGGAGGGCAGGGTCTGTCTCTCAAGAGCAAACAGCGAGTGGGAAGAAAGACGCGCGGTGGGCGCTCAGGAGACGAGATATTTATGCACAAGTTTAAAATAATAATAATAATAAACTTTATTTTATATAGTGCCTTTAAAGGTGGCTTCTCAAAGCGCTTAATCTGACCTCCTCCCAAACTTCTGTTTACAAACCGCATTTGTCAGACGTGTTTCTCACCAACGATCATTTTGTAAGCTTAAAAAAAAAACTGCCGAGAGCAAATTTGTTTTCCGCACCGTTAGACAACATCTGCCTATTTCATTGGCGTGCTTTGGCTGCTCTGTTTATCTTGTCTTTCAAAGAAACTGCTTTCGCTATAAATGTAGGAACTGTACTGGATTTCAGAAAAAAACAGCTATGTAAAATGAAAAAAAAAAACGTTTTTAGAACGTCTTCTAATATTCCCTTTCAAAAAGTTTGCTGTTCACTCAACAAGGTCCAGATTGAAAATGTCAATTCAAAGTGAAAAAAGTGAGAAAGTCTTTTATGGTATATACTGTACTCTTTTTAGCCATAGGAACCAACAGAAAAAAAAATCAGTTATTTAATAACTATTTTCTGACATGAAGGATCTAACATGAATACATAGGCATTTCATATTATGTGAGAATAAACAGCATAATGTACAAATGCTGAACATTTCAAGATATGCACGTCGAACCTCTGTTCTCTGAGGAACAAACTGTACAAATTCTTTCAAATTATGATATAATGTGACTCAGTCAACATCGCCTCCAAGTCCTTGGACTATGTCTCTCTTTGCACAGTTTTGGCTTGACATTGAAAACAAGGTACAATAACAAGACAGAAGACACTTCCTGTGCAAAACGTTTCAGAGGTTTGTGAGTGTAGATTACAATGCCTCTGGGAATCCCTCTGGTAAACCCTTTTGTAAATCTCATCCCCTCCATATAAATGGTTATTTTATATGCAGGGAATAAGATTTATAAAACGGTTTACAAAATTCAACAATAACACTTTTTCATTTTTCTCGAGTGTTGATGAGAATCTGATTTAAAAAATTGAAGTCTGTGCTACTGGAAGCTCCCATCACAGCCTCCATCCCATGTTAAAGTTTCATGTTAATTAAACTAAAAAGGAGAATACATTTGCACATGGTTTAGTTCATTTCTCACAACCCAATGTGAAACTGTTATTTATGTGCACTCAAAATAGTACATACAGTAGTATAAAACATAGTAACTACTGGGTATATCGTGTCTTAATTGACACGACGGATCTATTATGTACTATAGCTGAAAATCGAAGCTTTATTAAATAAATCCAAATGACAGCAAAAGGCCTGACTTTGTCTTCCTAAGAGAAGACTACAAACACCACTTCCACAAACCTTCCAATAACAACTACAGTAACCATTCATAGAATAAAAAAGACTGCTCGCTCCTACAGTGGAGCATATCTCACCATACTTTGAAACAAATTATTTACAATGTGAAACACTCAGGTTCTCCCTTATGAAAAGCATTTCCTCTGAATCCCAAACCTTTATCATTTCATTTGCTCAAGACCGAACAAAGGGAAATACAAGAACAAAGTGCTCCTTCTTTGATTGATAGAAACAGCTGTTCTGGAGCTCTGGTCTGTGTTGTAATGAACGTGTTACAGATGTCCATGCACAAGGCCACAATTTGTATCTTGCTGTGTCAAAAAAAAACTTTCAACTGTTTTGGCCTCTTCCACAAGATATGGTGCTATCTGTTTTGATAACTCTGTCACCAGGCTGCTGAGAAACTGAAAGAAATAACTTGGTTTCATGCAGCACGTATCAATCATTCCTGTCTTTTGTATTCTTTCACAGGTCAACTAAGATAGGATTAAACAACACTGTTACCAACTTTTTAAGGACAGTACAGAGAATAAAATAAAATACACTAAGCCATCTCACCAGGTATAGGCCTACAACAAGCTCTCCAACCCTTGGAGTGTCCCTAAGGGGTCTCAATTCACTTAGTCAACCTAAATCACCTGTTTATTATTTTTTTAAATAAGGAACACTTGAAAGTTACTGATCAATTACACAAGTAATTTGTTTAATTAAAGGATCTCAGAGCCTTGAGGGCTTGAAGGCTATACTGATTTTTGTTCCAAATGATCTCTAAATTACTTAATTTAACACATAACCTGCTCAATTGATTGCAGTTAAGCTGTCCTAGGTATTTAGAACTTGATAATTTCATGGTTACCTGTATAAAGCCTGTTGATCAGAACTCTCTGGGATGAGGACTGGACCATCCTGGGTGACAGTGAAGGATAAGTGGGACTGCATCCTCTGTTTGAAGAAAATACTGATTTTTCAACCATTTCCAATTCCAACAATCCACCGACACATACAGCAAGACCAATTAAATAATAGTTTTAGTTTGACTGTGCTCATTGCATTCTAGAAGCTGCAAGACCTTTAATGTATCATTTATTTTAACCAGACCCCTTAAAGAGAGGAATCATTCAACTGTATACATAAGAACTACTAATATTCATCCATCAAAAGGTTAAAAAAACACTTTGGTTTAATAAATTCTAGGTATCAATTCAGACACTCCCATCTTCTTAAAAACATTTAATTAATTAATTAAATATACCTGCAACCAGCTTTTTCCATAAATACTAGAAATGAATTTTACTCAATTGTGTTGCTTTCATATTAGAGACAGACATTATGTTGCTTCTCCGGTTTATTAACAGCAAGCGTACTAGTTATCAGAAAGTTCCTTATGTGTGAAGGAACACATTACCTAGCACCTAGGTCAGCACAGACACTCAAAATCAGTTTAGTATCCAGTAAATGGCATCAAAAATACGTTGGTGGTTTAAGAAAACCTTTAATGAGTTGAAATTAAAAAAAAAAAAACAATAAATTGTTTTCCCATCTTTGGGCACTATTTACAATACTGAATTTCTGAATATGTGGCATCCCACATCACCTATACATTCAGAGATTTACCTAAATATTACTTTCTGTGTCCTGCGTATATATTTTTATATACAATTTCATAAAAGGAATTGCCCATATCTACTCAGATATAGAACAGATATACTCTACACTCTACACACAGGAGAGGGGAATGATCTAAAAGCCCATTGGCGTTTCTGATTATTTATCAGCATTCAGGTAGTCTATACAGCCACAGTAAATCTAGACAAAAAAGGATATCTCGGGTACTTTATTCAGTATATACATTATTTACACTGGAACGTTAAGCTCTGAAGCCAGAACTTGGTAATGCAGTTAATGAAGCCAGATGCTACTGAATATTGGTTAGGAATTTTAAAAGACAAAACCGCTATTCAAAAACAGAAGTAAAACTTACAAGATGAACTTTTTGTACACAGTCACAATACATAGATGTTTAGGGGGTTTTGAACTGGTAACATACAGTCCGTTGCAAAAAGTATTCACCGCTTTCCAAAGTGGTCCTGTTTTTAAGGTAAATATTTTTAATCCAAGCTAGAATGCTCAAACTGAAAACCTTTATGGGTGAAAGAAGTTAAATACCAACAGAAAAAGAAAACTCAAAAACTAAAATATCTTGATGCAGACAGTACGTATGCAGCAGCTTTCCCATGGAAGACCTGCGTTAGCACAGATTGCACAAAGTGACAGAAGCAACGATTAGTTGAATGGCCTCTGTGGCCGGTAATAATGAATCACAAAGTTTCAGAATAAATGCAACGGTTTCTGTACGTTCCCTCTGTCAAACAAAGACTAAACCCTGGTGACTAGGAAGCTTTCAAAATAATTCAGGGATAAAGTTAGTCGAGTTCAGATCAGGGAACGGAAAGAAATATTCAAAGACGCTGAATGGACGTCCACCAAATTCAGAAGGAGGAGGCCTAGATCGAGTTATCCCTCTTAACTGAGCAGCCAGGCATGGAGGAAGGCCAGGGGGGCTACAAGGTGACAGTCACTTTGAGAGCTCAGTGGGCTGAGACCAGAGAAAATGAAACCCCTGTTACTCCACAAAACTGGCCTGTATGGCAGAGTAACAGAATAAACCCCTCAGATCCTGCATGGAGTTTGTAGCAAAGCAGTTAAGCGATACTGCAAACATGCAGCAAAATGCATTGTGGTCAGACATGAGAAAATTGGAACTTTTTGGTTACCATCTGGTGCGAAAGCAACACAGCTCATCACCCAGACAGCAGCTCCCTGCTCTCGAGCACAGTGGTGGCAGCATGATGAAGGGGCTGCTTCTCGTCAGCAGGGACTGTGAAGCTTGCCAATGTTGAGGGGCAACTCGACGGAGCAAAGTACTGGCAAATCCCGGAGGAAAACTCGCTTCAGTCTTCTGAAGACCTAAACCTGGGACAGAAACCAACCTTTCCACGGAACAGCGATCGGAAGGACAAGGCCAGAGTGGCTCAGTCAAGGCCCTGACTAAAATCAGACAGAAAATCCGCGGCAGGACTTGAAAATTGCTGTCCATTAACAATCTCCACCCGACTCGGCAGAGCCTGGGGAAGTCTGGCCCACCTCAGTGTTTACAGTTCACAGAGGCTTATCTAAAAGGACTCCGAGGTGCAATTGCTTTCAAAGGTGCTTCCAGCAAGTACTGACTCAGGGGTGTGAATACTTACAGGACATAATCGACATATTTTATTTCTGGATGGTTCTCTGCAATTTTATATTGAATTAATATGAACAAATGCACATACACATATTTACATAAATGTGTCCAGTTTGAGCTTTCAGGTTTTTATATACATATATTTTTATTTATTTTTGTAAACAATGCTCAACAAACTCAAAATCACGGTTAACAAAATGCAGAACAAAGGAACCCACCCCCACCCCCTGACCCCCTCCCTCTCTTTTCCACCCACAACGGCAACCCACACACCTATAGAGCAGAAAATAATTTTTAAAAAACTAAACCAGAAAGCCTATGGCTGCAACAATGAATGAGATAACGAATCTATAAAAAATGTTTATATAAAAAATAGAATAAGGATTTAACTAAGACAGTTGCTGGATCCAGTTAGTTAGCAATAGCAATAATTACAGTAGCATTGCTGCCTTGCAGTGTTGGGGCCCAGGGGTGCTGTCTGTGTGGAGTTTGCATGTTCTCTCAGTGTTCATGTGGGCTTCCCACAGTTTCAAAGACAGACTGCAGGGTTTATTGGTTTACTGGTTAATTGGTTAATTGTGTGTGTGCGCCCTGGGATGGACTGGTGTCCTTTCACAGTGCACCCTGCCTTGCACCTGCTCCTGGCCAAGATGGGCTCTATCTCCCCTGTCTCACCATGGGTACCGTGAAAAGTTTCCGGAAATAAAAAGTCCAAAATAGTCACTTTGAAAATGTGAATAGCTAATTTGGAACTTAACAAAATGGTAGGAGTGAATACTTTTTCAAGGCACTGTACTCTCTTCACTCTTATCGTTACACACGAAGCAACGATGTCCCGCTGAAGTGATGGCACTGCTTTGCTTACCACTGAAAACACAAACGTTTGCCATACTTTTCTTAAAGAGTAAACTTTCTGACTTTGGTCTACAGAGACAAAGCATTTCAATTTATAACTGAAAATATTCTCTAAAAATCACCCTTCTGGGTCCTTTTGACATAATGAGAGTTTGATTAAATCTGACTTTGCCTTCCATATCTTCGCTGAGCCCAATTTTCCCTGTAAAGTGGGGAAACTGTGGGCAAATTGCCCATCTAATTTGCTTATTATGAAGTGAGCAGTTTGCCCACAGGAAAAATGAAGACCATTATATAAGATCGATTTCCATTTTGCAGCTTTTGTAATAGCTATCTGAAAATCATGAGCAAATTGTTCTCTGGGTGGGGGGGAGCTCTGAAAATGACTGTGTTCATTGTTGTATATTTAAAAAGGGACTTAGAAAACTAAAGGAAAGTACAGTATTGCTTTCCCAGGCATTCCTACAGCCACTCCAGCTTATTCAAGATCCAGAGCTGTCAAGGGAACTCTCCACCTCACACTTGTTTTCCACGATGTTCGGTACTTTGCAGGTCATACCTGCCCAATTTGGACCTGCTAATTGTTTCTTTGTGTTTCTGTTCATGGCAAACGACTCCTGGACTGGACAGGAAGAACGGGGGAAGAGCTGACATGTCTCCTGGAGACTTGTTGGTGAGGAGGCACATCTCTTGCTTACATGAGCTCGAAACATGTACTTTAGGTGCTCAGAAAATCTGTTATGAGATATGAGAGAGCACTGGCCAGCTAATCCCATGCCTACACTAGAGGGCACTAAACTGACTGAGCACTGCTGTTTGGGGGAATTGGTTTGCAATGTGATCCTGGCTCAAGCTCACAGTCTGGACTGCAGAGCTCAATCTGCTCACATGATGTAGCCATTTGAGTTCCCACTAGCCCTGTGATAGACTTCTGGGCTTCTGGGTTGAAACTGAAAAACCCTGAACATCAGCCACAAACTGTTCTAGAGCTACACCTCCAAGGCTAAATTGCCAGTCAGATTCAATTACTGTTCTTCACTTCAGTTTCGCTTCGTGTCTGTGGTATAACATACCCAGCCACAGCACCAGTTGTTGGGCCAGTTCCTTCGCGTGAGAATTTAGACAAGTGGTAACAAATTCTTGGATTAAAGTTCGAAATTAAAAAAATGTTAGAGCCTCTGTTCCATTGAAGGTGCTGCAATGGTCTTGATTTTAAAACATTGTTGCCACGACCTCTATGGTAAGTAAATTGAATGCATTCATGTTCACCATCATAGTTCCTATTGGCTGACACTCTGGATGAGACATTCTATATACAGTAGACTTCTTTCTAGCCCATCCTTAACGTGGGCAATTTTGAAAACTCTGAAACATCAGACAGCGGTCATAATAACAATTTGCAATGAACATGTATTCTATGTACTGTAGGTGCCTATTTTGCCAACTCTGCTTAGCTCCTGCTTGTTCTGTCAGTGAATGTGTATCAGTTAGTTGCCCTATAAAAATGAAGGGTTTCTATTGTTAACATCGTACATGAGTAGAAGTCAATGCAGAAACTGTAACTTGTACACATATATTTGTATAGAATATGCAATGTACAGAAAAAGTTATTTCTATAGATACTTGGAGACAACAGCTGACTTTTCTCTATAAGAAATGATCGTGCATATATTTTTCCTGTACAGTATTCACCAACAGAGGGTCAACAGAAATAAAAAAACACAGAACTCTCCATGTTCTTATTTTCTTTTAAGCTGATAGCACTAACTCCGGTGTGTGGAATCATGGTTTTGAGCAGTGTGGCTCTGCTCCTCGCAGTGGCAGCTGTGATGGGAAATCTTGCCAGGCCTTAGACTGATAGCACCAGTCTTTGTCACTGAATCTTATCTCTTTCACAAGCAGCGCCTGCACACCCCACAACGCAGAATCCAGCTCCCTCTCAAATACTGACAAGTGCTCTCCCGGTTCAGCCTGCGCCACGAATGGAGACCAACCACTCCGCTCTTTAAAAAAAAAAGCTGATAAAAGCTGTTTTTTTTCCAGTCAGGCAGATTTCACCAGCCTTTCATTAAGGTTTTTTTTTTCTCTCTCTCTGCTCATTTGATTTCCTGTTGCACTTCTTGTTCGTTTTTAATGAGAAACTCCGCTGCCTGTCTTCAGGTCCTCTGGGAGTGGAACAAGGCACTGCGGAAAGCCGCCATCACAGGCCCAGGAGAGCTCCCAGTCCTTTCTCCTGCCACGGACACAGCCACAGGGCAGCCCTGTCTCTTTCTTCTCCGAGCCACTGCAGCGGGCAAGCCAGGAAAAAAAAAATACGATATCTTCCCTGCTCCCCCACATAATTCAGGCATTATCAGTTCGTTTATGAAATATTTTTTGCGTGGGATAGCCTAGCCACCAAAAGAGTTCTGCCTTTTTTCTGTCTTCATCATCCTCCAGAAAGGCTCCACAGTGACTGATGACACGTATTCACATCTGACCCTGGACTACACGGTTCTCAGGAACAGAATGGGGTCTCAGGTTTTGTGCTTTCTCTTGTGGGATTTTTATTAAACGGACACCATTCAGATACATAATTTACACGTGTAAGGTGTCTTTTCTTTCTTTCCACACCCTTAAAAAGCCAGACTTCTTGAAATAAACACATCCAAGAATTATACAGTAGCTTTGCATTGTCTTAATGAAACTGTCCCTTCATTTCCAGCAATGTGTTTTTGCCCCCGGACCACTCCTCTATAAAGCCGAAGAAGCCAAAAAACAACGAACGCCTTCCTTCCGCCATTCGCTTTTCCCTCTTGCAAGTACAAAGCTCTGCGGAAAGAAACCGTTTCGAAGATCACTGTCCATCACTGCTGAAACAATATCGAAAAATACTGTCATTTTCATGTCACTGATAACGGAGCAACGGAACAGTACAAACCCCTGTTCAATTAAGACACCATTCAAATCAGTTTCACAGATATTAGCTCGCAGCTTCAGTTTCTTTCTCTTTCCTCGTCTTAGGATTTGCCAATGTGGTTGCCCCCCCATCCCTGTTAAGATTAATAAAATATTATATCCCTCTCCCTCACTATAGTGCTAAATATGAAATTCCACTGATACAAAGCAGGATAATACAAGATACTGTACAGGTCCACAACGCAAATGCTTTTTACAACACTGATGAAGAGTGATGCTAAACCAGGTCGAAGGAACTCAGAGCTTGAAAGATGCATTTCATATATCTTTGGAAATTGAGTTCTTAAGATTAAAGAGTCTTGGTTTTCTAAAAGCCTGACCCCCATATGCTCTAGACAGCAATGTAATACATTCTCAGATGAAGATTCTGCATGTCAATCACTGTTTAGGGAGAGGGGAAGGAGCAGGAGGCTGCTGTAGAAGACTATGTCTGCAGAAATGATGCAATGCTGATCTTTATAAGAGCAAATCAACACTGTTAGTAAGCAAGTCAGCAGCCACCGGACTCGCTTTGCAATACAGAAATTCTGACCAGTTCTTTTTTAATCTTCCCAACCCTCAAAACGTACGATAAAATAACTTTTATGCAGCTTCTGAAATGTCATGTTACTATTGACCCTCATCCCCCAAACAAATACATTTACATTAAAAAAATGATAACAATAAAACAACAATAAAAAATCATATATCCAGTGTAGAACTTTCACAAGACACACCCCCTTTCAAAAGCAAAAAAAACAACCCTTAAAATATCGAGTACGTTCATTTTCGTGTTTCCTGTTTTTACGTAGTTCATACATAAACTGTAACAAGAAAAAAAAATGAATATATAAAAAAATCACACATAAAATACAGTTATTAACAAGCAACCAGCCTTCCGGCCTAAAAAAAGTCAATGACGGTTGGCGTCAGTCCTTTTTCTTGTTTTTCTAAGCAGAATGATTTTTAATAGCATTTTAGCCTAACGTGATGAGGTGTTGTCAAGCTGATGTTGCAAGTTCTCGGATCTCGGTGTTTGAACTTTCTCGTCGTGAGCTTGATTCAATGGGTTCTGATGGGCGTGCTGTCGGGCTGGAGCTCAAGGAATGGATCTGAAGGAGGGGTGGCGAATGACAGAGGGGTGGGGGACGGGGAGGTGTAGAGGGGGGTGAGTAGGGAGGGAGGGGGCGACGTCTGGGGTGCATGCTGCTACACGTACCACTCTTTCTTTGAAATGACAGAGCCGTCAGTTTGGGAGACCATGTCATCGGCGATCTCGGGTTCGGGGTCGTACTGGAAAGCCAGAGTCCGTTCGTCGTACTCGCGGCTCTCGCCTTCGTCGACCGTGAAATACGGCCTCTTCAGGTCCTCCGCGTCGGGGTCGAAATCCCGATCGCTGCCCTCGAAGCCGCCGGGCCCCCTGACGGGCGCCGGTTTCTTCTCGTCGTCCGAGTCCTCGGGGTACTGCAGGTTCTTGGGCAAGGGCGGGTGAGGGGGCAGCCCCCCGGCTTTGCTGTAGCCGTTTCCGAACACGTGCTTCTTGGTGCTGTAGTCGCCTTTGAAGGTGCGCGGGCGGCGGCGCAGGAAGACGAAGAGCAGCGCTGCGGCCACCCCCAGCAGGACGACTCCCCCCACAGCGCCCCCGATGGCGGCCCCCGAACTGTGCTCCTCCGGTGGGCTCACACGGTCCCCGGGTTGCGGGATGTTAGGGAATTCTGGGTAGGAAAAGACAGATGGAAGGGGACAGTGTGTCAGTGCCCCGGTGTGAGGAGGTGTTTTTGCGCTTGTTTTTTTTTTGGAAAGATGAGGGAAGGGAGACAGGGAAGGGAAAGCAAAAGGGAAGGCAGTAAGAGGAAGGAACCCCCTGGAACCACGTCGCTCAGCACAGCTCGCCTGCGTGTTCTGTCCTAGAGCAGCCTCGAGTCACCGGCCGCTCGAGCTACAACTCTCTCGGCCTTGAGTCGCACTGGAGCTCGTCTGAAAAGAAAGCCTACAAAGTCGACAAGAGGTCAAGGCAGCGGCTTTCCAGGAAGATCGGCCAGGATTCCCTCTGGAAAGCTAGAAAAATCGAATCTGCTGTTCCTTCTCCTCCCACCAGCTCTCAGGCACCAGCTGAGCAGAAATGAGAAACGGAAGCGTTCTTCTTCCTCTGCTTTCTCATAAAGAGACGCGTACCCGGGTCTCTGTTCGATGTATTAAATATTTTAAGCTTTTATTACTTTGTATTAACTTTGCATTAGCATGCATTAACCTCCAAGCATTCAGGATGCTATTTCTGGGACACGGCTTTGCTGCAACAGCAGTGGCGACAAATTGTTCTCTTATCTCAGCGCTGGAGGGAAACCTAATGAAATCGACAAATGTTTTGATGATCTTGCCTTCCAAACAGACACTTTATAAAGTTTGCGGAAAAACTGGGTCTCCTTTTATTCATGGGACTCACAACATTTAGCATAAGTGGAGTTTTTTTTTTTCCAAGCAAGATGAATTCATTTGTCATGAGGTTCATCTTTAGCAGCAAGAAACTGGTTTTCAAAATAAGCATGTGCCTGAGAATTCACAGTGTTATAACTGCGGTTGTTCTTGTATCATCCAGCTTTAGATAGGATTCGTTTTGAAATGTTTAACAACATTGAGCTTTGAACAACAAAGTATTCCTCAAACTAAATTATAATTAAAGATAAGTAAATTCTAATTATAACTAATTAGTGCCTCTAACTAAATTATATATTGAGTCCATACAGTATTCACACATCCAAACAGGTATTTTACCCCAGAATGATCAAGCTTATCATTACCCTGTGCTTGTTCCTTTCTTTTCAGCAACTAAAAGAAAAAGTATCAATTCTTTTAATCTGTTTTGCAATTGTAACTCATGAATACAATTATTTACTAGGCTTTAGGATAAGATAATTTTAGCACACAGGCACATAAAGAAACATCCTCATAGAAATATACAGTTTTTGAAATCTGGATTACTCCCACTATAACATCACTGCCATTTGTCTGATGCACAGTACAGGTACCACAGATGCAGCTAAACTTAATTAAAAAACACTTCAATTTAAAACTAGAACCTGGGAAAGTCGACAGGCATAATATTTAGGTTTGTTACTGAATGTAGTGCACTAACTTTTCCAAAGCATTATGAATTACAGGAGGTACAATACTCTGCCAAATATTATATGTACAGTATAACACATTAAGGACTTAGCTTTCAAATGAATGAAGAGATGAACTGCTAAGATGTAAGATTTTAAGCAATGTGTTGCCAAGATGCACTGGTCACACTCACAGATAAGTTAAAGGCCAGAAATGTCACACGACTCCTGACCTTGAATGTTCTTATTTTTATCATTATTTCTCTTTATGATTGGTACAGCGGGAAGGCAGTATAAAAAGATAACCTTGGGCAGCTTACTTTCCACAGCCCCTGTGTTTCACAGTCTCTTTACCTGAATCGTTCTGTTGCTGTTGAGTCCACTCAACGGGTTTTTAAGATGCACGGTGTGTTCATTTTTTTTTCATCATTTCAATGTTGTTTCTCCCACTCTGACAAAATCAGCTTTGCTAAAAGGAAAACAAGCATTGCCAGAATTCTGTGCCCTTGGACTTTTCTTGAAGAGTACAGTGAACGAGAAAAGAAAAGTAGAGTTTTTATTCTTGCACAAGGGGGGAAGCTTCACTGAAGTTTGACATCTTAAGCCTGCCATCAAGTTTTGTTTTGGAAAATATTTTCAAAATCAGCTACTTTTAGCAAAAAAAAAAAAGATTTGTTGGCATTGAAGAAAACCACGAACAGAATCTACACAATAATAAAAAGAGAACCGGGAATAGATTAGAGTAATCCATTTCTCTTCATTTTTGGAACATTCTGTCAATGCCAAAAGTTAAAGCTGCAATGATGAGTTTTCTTTTGTGCTGCTCCTGTATTTTTCTACCAGAAATAAAGGAGGGCGTACATTTGCCCAGAAGAATTGACACCTTCAAGTTTCATCCAGAAAAAACAGAACATTTCTCTTCTCTCGGTTTTAGTTTGTTTAGGGTGAGCGGCACCGGCCCTTGTGGCAGCTGCAAACACAGCTTACATCAAGTGTAAGGGGTTGGTGTTAAGGGATGATGCTGCTCCTTGGGTGACAAACTTGTTCCTTTGGTAACTGGCGTGCAGCTCTGTGCTGCCACAAAAAAGAATTAACCCTCAAAAAAGACCGTCTGTGATCCTGTTTGCCCTAATAGCTAATCACAGCACATCAAGAGAGAGCTCCCTCCAGTGGTATATGACACTATAAATAACCTTGAAATAATACTTCTGGTGTGGCACATTCTGGCTGCCTTTTAATAATAATTGGTTACACATAAATAGCTCTTTTCTGGACACTCCACTCAAAGCACTACAGGTAATGGGGATACCGTCCACCACCACCAGTGTGCAGCCCCACCTGGATGATGCAACGGCAGCCATACTGCGCCAGAACGCTCGCCACACATCAGCTATCAGTGGGGAGGAGTGATGGAGCCAGTTCAGAGATGGGGATTATTAGGAGGCCATGATTGGTAGGGGCCAATGGGAAATTTGGCCAGGACACCTGGGTAACACCCCTATTCTTTTTGGGAAACACCCTGGGATTTTTAATGACTACAGAGAGCCAGGACCTTGGTTTTACGTCTCATCTGAAGTACCCATCACTATACTGGAGCATTAGAACCCACACAGACCGGGTGAGCGCCCCCTGCTGGCCCCACTAACACCTCTTCCAGTAGCAACCTTAGCTTTCCCAGGAGGTCTCCCATCCAGGTACTGGCCAGGCTCACACCTGCTGAGCTTCAGTGGGCTGCCAGCTGTGAGTTGCAGGGTGATATGGTTGCTGGATATGCTGCTTTTACACTCTTTAACAGCCAGTAACAGTGTTGATTCAGTCCCAGGGCTTTTTTCCCCACTCTCAATCACTTTCCCGCTACCACACGTTCTGGTCTCTACAGTAATGGTCCTTATTCTTGACTGCTCCTCTCTCGGCGCTTTATTTCCTACTGAAGCACCATTGTTTCAGCAGGACCTGATGTGGGGGTGGCTGTTGGATGGGGGGGGACGTCACTTTGGCAACAGGTTCATATCCTAATGGCCACAGACTGTGCCCTCTCTTTAGTTGTTTCTGGGGCTGGAAAGAAAAGAGAGTTCGACTGCTGAGAACAGAAGGAAAGGAGGGTTGAATTCCTAAAAGTGCCTTTTCAAATCAAGGCCTGCACTTTGCTCGACTCGGAGGCATGCAGCTTTTAGTGTCCACTGAAAGAAAATGAATAAAAATAACCCCGAAAAGAGAACTTGATGTCTCAAAATGAGGAGCGCAATTGGTCACAAATGGCATCATTAGAGGGTCGAACTCTGTTCTGCATGACGGCGTGTTGCTTTTGAAATGCTTAAGAGCAGCAACAATGATAACAGCAAAGATTCAAGGGGAATGTGGCACTAATGCTAAAGAAGGGAGGAAACCTCTCTATGGTTGTCACAGCATGATCGTTCTTTTTAACTCTGGCTCTACAGATGAAAAATACTGACTTGTTTATGCAACTAGCAGTGAAAAGCCCTCTTCAGCCAAGGAATGGACGATTCAAAGCAATTCCTCAGCTGAGATTAACACTCTTGATTTGCATCTCATTAAGCAGCAGTAAACAGCTTCTTGAAAAACCTAACTGCTTTTTTTAATTTTTTTTTTTAACATTGCTGGCCTGCTTTTGCCTTGTTTCTGCAGAGAAATACTGCTACAAACACAGAAAGAACCTTATGACTACATCATGTGCTGTACAATTCTGAAATATTCGTTGACTTTTCTGTGTGATTTGAACATCCACCATCGTAACCACTAGTGAGACTGCAAACTGCATTAGGTTGGACCAGAACTGAAATCATCTGCTCATGTAGCTCAGATAGATTTAGACAGATATTAAAAAACAAAAAAGTAATTATGGATATGCTGTTGTCCAAAGCAATTCACATCAACTAGTGTGGGAACAAAGTATCAACAATTGCCTGTTGTTGGTTTAGCGTTTCAACCACAGGTCAGATGGGTTTCACTGTCATCCATCACATCTTAAAAACACAAAAAAGTGGAACTTAAAATGCGGCGAAAACAGAAAAGGGCAAAAGTGGTCTTAGAAACTGGAGAGATCGGGTGCAGGCACTGTTTTAATGCAGGCACAGGCAGAATGGAGAATTCGAAGTGTAATACACCGGGAGTCCTAAAAAAAACCTTGATCACTGAATCCATTAACTTTAAAGGCTTCTGTTACAACTGGATATTTGAATGAAACAAAGGAACAAGGAAAGTTAGAAAGGTCTGGCATCGTCCGCTTTTAGTCAAAACCTTCTTTGCAGGCGTGTCTGTTAATGGTTACCAGAATGGAGAACACAGCTAATGACGTTTGTTTAATTATCAATGAATCCTTATTAATGAGTAATGTGCGTGAGACCACTTCCCATAACAGCTCTGTGAGATTGAATTGCTTGTTTCCTGAAGGTCAGGCCACTGGGCAGGCTCCTTGGTGCTCTCCCCACCAAACCTCAATGCATCCCCCAGCTCCTCTTTCCCCTGCTCAAAGGCATTCATGAAGGCACTCCTCATCCTTGTTCCCCCCAGTTCAAAGCCAAAGCCTCACGCTGCCTCACCCACCTTTCGAAACCTTCTTTTTATCTCTTTGAAAACACGAGGTCACCCTGCCT